GGACATGGTTGTTTCATGGCCTTCGGGCACCCCGGAGGCTGGGGGCGGGGGGAGGGCCCTCTGCCTCTGCCGCCCTCCTCTGCCACAGGCAGGACTGTGGGACAGCACAGATGCCCCATTCCGTGCCGTGTGCCACCCGCCCTCTGTGACACGCAGTGCTGTTCTTGTGCCCAGTAAGAGGATCGAGCAGAATCCCGGTCAGCAAACGGGTAACCACCAGGCGCCTTTGCCTACGTTGGTTTGACACAGAAGGAGCTCTGTCACAGATTTCCTGGGTGGACCCCGAGTACCCTCAAGGCAGGCCCTCGGTGTGAGAACAGCAGGGGCAGTGGGATGATCCGAGAACGACTCCCACGTGCTTCTCTCTGGGAGGTCTCTCTACCAGGTGGCACACTTGGCAGGCGGCTCAGGGCCCGAAGACTGTCCTGCCGAGATGCTGCAACATGCTAGTGCTTCCTTGTGGCTAGGGCCAGAGGTCGCAGCTGTGCTGGGGGGGGCTCACACCTCCAGGCCCCTCTGGTCTCACCGCTTGCCGGTCGGTAGTGCTGTGGCATACACGGTGACAGTGGCAGTCCCGGCGCTGCAGGGGCAGTCAGCGGTGTGGGGCTCCGGTGTCCTCCGTTCACCCCGTGCCCGAGACCCTTCACTAAGCTGGGCTCTCTGGGCGTCTGGAGACTGGGGGCTGTTTTTGGAGTATAGGAGGGACGTCTCAAAATGACTGTTCCTCCTTCTGGAAATGACAAATTGCACACACAGACATATGCACACACAATTTTAATAAAAATAAAAAGCCTAAAATATATTCTAGCTCTTCGATTTTTTTTTTTTTTTTTTTTTTTTGTGAAAGGAGGGAGGTCCTGTCCGAGGCTATGAGGCTGGCTGGCAGTAGGAGGCAGCACGTGCTGGCCCGCAGCAGGGTCTGCTGTCAGCATGGGCAGGGGGAGCGGCTGCTCTGTGCACGGCACATGGGGCGTGGGGCCAGGAGAGGCCAGAGCGCGGAGGAGCAAGCTGGATGGCGAGGGGTAGGATGAGTGTTCAGCCATGGAGGTAGCACGTCCGGGACCATCCTCACTCTTTGGGAGCCTGCACTAGCACCCCCGAGTCCAAGAGGGGCTGAAGGCCTGGCACATAGGGCAGGCGCTGCGCAGCTCTGCATTCGGACCCCAAGAGGCCCTTGCTGTGCCTCGGCTTCCCAGGCAGGCCTCTGCCTTTTCTGTGAAGACCCAGGTCTTTGGTGCCTTGGTGGTGGCTCGTCCTCCTGGTGTGGCTTCCTCTGCATGAAGCCAGCCCAGGCCAACAGTTCTCCCAACTATGGCCAGCTTGGCCACCCTGTCTGTAAATGAGACGAGACTGGCGCCCAGCCACACCCGTGCACGCACCTGCTGCGGTGGCAGAGTCTAGTGGCGGTCACCGAGCCAGGAAGCATTTGCTGTCTGGCTTCCTGGGAAAGCCTGCAGACCTGTGCCCATGGTAGACGAAGGCTGTGTAGCGCTCCCCTTAGTGTTTGTGGGCCTTTTCTCCCGGAATGCCAGTGCGTGTGGTGGACATCAGCCTGCAGAGCAACCAGCACAAGTACGGGGGAGCGGTCAGCACGGTGCTCTGCCCAGAATGCACCTCTCACCATCTCCTGGCCCTGCCGTCACCCGGCCCCCGACCCGGAGGTGGGCCTTGGCAGTGGCTCCGTGATCAGCCAGGACCCTGAGGGCTCCACACTGGGGTCTGAGAGCAAAGCATTGGGAGGCCAGCTTAGCACGGGCGCCCGGATACATCGCGAGGTGTGCAGTGACGGTCCTGGAGCTAAGTGTGGGCCTGGCCCAGAGGGCTGGTTCCAGCCAGGACCTTGCCTCTGTGGTGCTGTCCATCCAGCTTAACCTCGTCTTCCTGGGTCTTAGAAACTTGAGGTTGGAGGAGTGTAACGAGAACGTCCTAGGTCCTTCGGAGAAAAAGCAGTGAGGATGAGAACAGACAGCCGCACCTGGTCCTCTGTCAAGCCCTGCTTCCCACGCCTCTGCTGCTCGGGTCCCTACCCCAGACCTGCCGGCCTCACAGCAGCAGAGCAGGCCTCTGGGACCCCGCGCGGTGGGTTCAGTTTCCAACCCACAGGCTGCTCTTCCCCGCTCTCCATCTGAGATGACCCTGGGCCTCTCTGCGGGCGTGAGCAGGGCTGCGGCGCCTTGGTTGAAGTTGATTTCCGGGCTCCTAGGTGGGTACTGGGAGGGCGCCTTTCTGTTCCCCGCGTGTTTGTAGTTTTCTCCATGGCGTCAAGAATAGGTGTTCTCTGAGCCGGTATTTGATAACTTGATAATTAGTGAAGGGTTTCTGGATTTGTTTTTATAGAAATGAATCTGCCGAGTGAGTTTTTGAAAGATGTGTTAATATTTCAGATGACTTGCTGCTGCGGGAATACTTCCGACCCAAACCCTAGCAGAAATTCGCTTGCACACCTTGCAGTGCGGGAGCAACGCCTTGAGTGCACGGGGCACATGCGGTCTGGGCTCTGAAGGGACGGGGCAAGCCCTCCTTCACATGCCGACGTGGCGCACTCGCGAGCCCGCTGCCCCCTCCTCGGCCTCTCCCGAGTGGCCCTTCAGTGGGAGCTGCTGGCTGTCATGAGGGTCTCCGAGTGTCTTCGCCCTCATCTCATTAGCCATTTTAGAACACCAGGCCTTCCCTGGGGCTCCCTCCTCTCCTGTAGCCCCAGGGAGGTGCACAGTTAGGCTGCACTAGGGAGTGGGAGGAGGCCGCCCTCGGCCAGCCATGCCCCAGGGCGCCGTGGCAAGTGTCAGCATGAGGCTGCTCCCGGGCCGTGGTGGGCTCTGACAGCCTGTCCTTCCCAGAGATTGCGAGGAGTACGTGTTCTTGAAGACTGAGGGGTTCGTGTGTGAGGAAGTGGGGACGGATGGAGCTTGTTGCCAAGAATTTGGGAAACACCGGGTCAGACACAAATGGAGGAGAGTGTCTCATTTCGGGACTTACGGGTGCCGCCAGTCCTGGTGTCCGTCGTGACTCTAGTGACGGGTCCGAGCACCTGCCCCACTCCCCAGGGCCACACTCGGGGCTGGGAGGCATGCCCAGCTGTCCCTGGCACCATCAGGACTCCACAGCATCCCAGCCCCGCCCTGTGCCAGGTGGCCCGCCAGCCCCTTGCAGTGCCCCTGCAGCCATTGTGGCTGACCCGGAGATTTCTTGGCCCAGTTCCCTCCAGAGTGAGCAGGATTCGCCCTCATCCAGAGGGCCTCATTCCCACCTGCTAGGGCTGGTGGCCGTGGCCGACCGGGAGCCATGTGCCGTCTTCTGGCCCGTGGCAGCCCTGGGGGTCTGAACCCCAGCGGGGCTTTCACCTGAGAGGACCTAAGGGGACGGCAGCTCTCTCGGAGGCTGAGGGACTGGGCAGTGGGGCAGTGCCGGTGCAGCGGGTGTCCCGCCCAGCCCTCGGCCACTGTTTTTTATTAATTTCTTTCATGAAAGAGGCAGAGACAGGGACCCCCAAAGGGTCTTCAGACTCAGCTGCCCCCCATTGCTGGCACATGCCAGCATGCTTGAGAGGTCCCAGATGAGGAGCCACACGGTGGGGTACCCCCCCACCTGCCTTCCCCACACGGTGAACGTACCTTAGGATTTCTTCAGTGTTTGAAGGTTACTTTGTTTCCTGAAATAATCAGATAAATGACTTAATGGCAGGGCAGGCACTACCTATGACCCTGCAGCTCCGTCAGCCCAGGTGCCACGGCCACCCCGCCCTAGCACGCGTCTGTTCCAGCGTGCAGAGCGCCCTACAATGGGCGAACGGGGGTCTCAGCGTGTGCCCTGGGCGTGGCGGTCATCGTGGGTGTGCGCAGGGACTAGTGTGGGGGGAGGCCAGCACGGCCGGCTCTGGGAGGCAGTGGGCTGTGTGCGTGGCTCCTGGTTGGTCCACGAACATGACCGAGGTTTGGACTTGAGTGTTCAAAAGCGTAACGTGTTCTTAGGCATCAGCATCCTTGTGATGGCATGGAACCTCCTGGGGAAGGAGGTGGGCGTGCGTGAGTGCAAGGTGGGGAGAGGCTAGGCAGTGTCTGCAGGTGGGTGCCAGGCCTGTCAAGGCAGTCTCCCCAGCTGTGGCGCTGTGTGTTTTGTTTTGTTTTGTTTTAGAGAGATTTTTGCTACAGGGCTTGTATGCTTGTCAGAGAGAAAGAGAGAGATAGAAAGTGAGAAATCACCCCACGGGGGGATGGCCATGCTATAATCCTGAATCTTCCATATTCCCATCAAGATCTTGGGCACGCACACATGTGCCTGGCATGAGTTTTAAGCCACTGGGCCCAGGACTCGAACCGTGGTTGACTATGTGGGAGTCCAGCGATATATCCATTACGCCATCTGCTGGTCCCATAGCACTGTGTTCTGTGTGAGCACTGTGACCTCCCCCAGCTGTGCCCACCACATGTGCTCACATGCACACACGTGGATATGCCGGTCCTTAGCAGGGCACACTGCACAGGGCCTGCACCTCTGGGCAGATGGCCTGCAGCCCCGTGTCTCAAGGCCACCCTCGCCAGCCCCGCCCATCCCCCCGTGCACCTGTGCAGGGGTCCTGGGACCCGTGGTCTCGCAGCGCTCTCGGAAGCAGACATCGCGGTGAACTTTGTAGACTCTCTTGTACCTGCCGCCATGAGAAAGCTCCATGGGAACCGACGTTGAGGTGCGACCGTCAGCTGCCTGGCCACGACTGCCTGAGCCCATGGACGTGAGGCATGTACAGGAAAGCCAGTATTTTTCAATAAAGCATTACCTCCTAAGGAGGTATTAGGATGTCCAACACAAAGTCAGATTTTTATTAAACAGACTTAGAAAGGTGCGACGTAGTTTACCACTTCTGCATGCATTTTGATGAGCGCCGACGAAGTCATGAAATGAAAAGACAAATTGAAATTCCAGAGACATGGACTGATCTGGGGGTGACCTTACTTTTCTCTGTGGGTCCTGTGAGGCAGGAGACCCACTCAATCCCTCCCTGTCACTAGCTGCTGCCTTCGTGAGCCTTTGGAACCGCAGGCCCCACTGCATAGACTGGGGACTGCTCCTGCCTCATCTTTCGCATGTGACAGTGGGTGGACAGTGCTTTGGCTCTTGGTGAAGATCTCAGGTATCAGAGCCGATGAAGAGAAATCTGAGGATCTGGGGGCTCAGAGCACCAAGTCTGCTAAGCTTGGTAGAACTTCAGGGTTAATGGTTCCTTTGCAAGATTCTGCTTCTGGCCACAAGGGAGTCATGGTCTAGAACTAACCTGACGTGCATAGCCAGAGGGCTGGACAGGGTAGAGGAAGTAACTGCTTTCAGGTGTTAGAAAACAGACCACGCAGGGCTCTGATCCCTGAGAGGAGGCTAGTGAGTAAGCCCTGTGGCCACCGTGGGATCCAGCGTGGGCACCGTTGGGCTTACACTTAGCCAGGGGCCCAGCATTGAGGAGACAGAGGACTGGGAAGGCAGTGGCCTTGAGAGGAGGAAGCTGTGCTGAGGAAGAGGGGCCTGCCTGAGCTCCCAGTGCCTGTGGGGACAAGGAAGCTGGTGCACAGAGCGGCCCCGTGAGGCTGAGCAGGAAGAACTACTGAGGAGCCCAGCGATTCCCTGGCTTGGACAGAGAGGTCTCATTTAGCAACCAGTCTCTGTAGAAGCTCTGGAAAGGCCATGCCATCAAATTGGGGCACAGTTAGCCCAGAATAAAGGCTTCTCTAAAGGCACCTGAAAACAAGCCTCAGAATGATCACAGTGTTCTCATGTAACTGCCCTGCAAGGAGAAAAATAAGACAGCATTCCTGAATACAATAAAAAGGAAGAAAGAAAAAAAAAACCACCCAGAACTCAGTAACATAACATTTATGAAGTCTAGCATTCAGTAAAAAAACTAAGATATTCAGAGAATCTCATGAAGAATTAAAAAAAAAGTGACCCACAACCAGGAGAAAATAATTGAATAGGAAAATCCCCAGAAATGAGGGCAATGACCGGAATAACAGACAAGGACCTTGACACATCTATTCAAAATCTGTCCCACGTGTTCAGTGATCCAAAGGAAAATATAAACATAATGGAGAGAGAAATGGATCTTAGAAAGACCTAAATGGAACTTCCAGAGATGACAGACCATAGGATTTGAAACAGACACGCTGTGGAATAAGATTAGGGAGCCTAGATGCTGCAAAAGGAAAGATCAGTGACTTGGAGTGCAGAACAATAGAATTTCGAAAATGAGAAGGAGAAAAAGGACATTAAAAAAAGAAAGAAGCTGCAGTGATCCGTGAGACAATTCTGATCTAACACATGCATAATTCAGAGTTCCAGAGAAGAGAGAAATGAAGGAACAGAATAATTATGGGAAGAACAGCCCAAATTCTCCAAATCTGACATGCCCAAAGCCCAGAAATGCAAGAAGCTTAACAAATTCTGGAAAGTAAATGCACACAACCATACCAAAGCACATCACAGTAAAGTTGCTCAAAAGCTGAAGGAGAAAACGCACAAGCACTATGGGGGGCAGGCTCGGGGTGGGAGGACACTTGACAGGTAGTGGGACAAGATAGGGACGAAACTACAGGCAGGTGATGTGGGAAGAGCATCTTTTTTTTTAGAAGAGAGATTTTTGCTATAGGGCACATATGCTTGCTAAAGAGACAGGCAGAGAGACAGAAAGTGAGAAATCACCCCCTAAAGGGGGTGGCCACAGTGCAATTCCTTCTCCTCCATTCTCCTCTTGGGATTAATGGGCACACACGTGCCCACTGTGTTTCAAGCCGCTGAGTCCAGGATTCAACCCCGGTTGGCCAAGTGGGAGTCCAGCGACAACCATTATGCCATCTGCTGGTCTGAAGGAACAACATCTTTAAAGTGCCAAAAGGACAAACAGTAGTCAAGAATTCTAGTTTCAGCAAAAGTATGCTCAAAAATCCTTTATAGACAGAAGCAGAGAGACCTACACAAGAGGGTACTTGGTGTTCTAAGGAGTGGGAAATGACCCAAATGGGACCACACGGGGGAGGGGGGCTGCTGGAAATGGCAGGTAGGCCAGTAAACATAGACGTTTTTTCTAATCGTTCATTTTTTTAGTTTTTTGCCATAGTGTGCATGTGCTCACCACAGAGTGAGAGAGAGGAGAGAGAGAGGGAAATCAGCCCTTGGAGGGATGGCCACACCACAATCCCTTCTCCATTCCCCTCTCGGGATTTTGGGCGCCCACATACATGTGCCTGGCATGATCTCCAAGCCGCCAGGTCCAGGACGCAAACCACCACTAGCCATGTGGGAATCCATCATCTTAACCTCTACACCACTACTGGCTTCAAAGACATTTAGTTTTCAACACTTAAAAATTAATTGAGGCCACCAGGTGGTATAATGTTTACATCGCTCGACTCCCACATAGTCATTCGTGGTTCGAGTCCTGGACCTGGAGGATTAAAACTCATGCTGGGTGCATATCCCGAAAGGAGAATGGAGAAGGGATTGTGCATGCCCATCCCCCGTGAAGATCGGGATTTGCTTTCTGTCTCTGTCTCTCCAGCGAGTGCACACATCCTATAGCAAAAACCTCTCAGAAAAAGAGTTGGTTGTCTGTTGAGAGCAGAACACATCATACAGTCACAGCGACGGCCGAAAGCACGTGGGGGTGAGTGTGATGCCGTGGACTCTGCCATGGTCTGAGAGGCGTGGCAGTGACCACAGGTGGGCAGTGATGATTGGGAGACATGGGCGGAAATCCTAGAACAGCCACTGAACATGCCAGCCAGAGACATGTACTCCGTGAGCCTGTGGAGGCGGACAGAGACCTGGAAACGGCGGGAAAAGGAGAGCCGGACAGGAGGGCCACGTGGGGAGAGCAGTGCCGTGGTCAGCCCCGACCACAGTGACCATCGTGTGAAGTGCGTAAGTGGTCTGATGCCCCACAGCACGCGGAGGGGGTCAGACAGGATGCAGGGAAGGCACGGCTGCGCGTTAAGTTCATGACCGCCCCTCGAATGGTGCGGATAGGTAGACAGGAGGAGGAAAGCCTTTGGCAGGTGACATGCTGTCCCGGTCAGGAAGGCAAGGGTGTGCAGCTCAGGACTGCCAGTGGCCCTGCCAGGTGCCTGGCAGGTCTGCGTCTCCTACACGGTCTGCCGTGGGCGAGGTCTGAGCTCTGCCCTCGCCCCCCTGCAGCCACTGTCTGCAGAGCGAGTACCGTGGGCCGCTCCCCTGCTCAGAGCCCTGCAGGGCCCACGTTGTGGGGAGGATCCCCGGGGGCTGCAGGACCTGTGCCTGGCCTTCCCACCACACTTGCCCCCAGTGGCACGGCCCCAGCCCCCCACCTCCCTGCTGCTCCCCAGACCGATCCCCTCGTTTGGGTCTTGGTCACTGACACTGCTCTCTGGAAGGTTCCTCCTAGATAGCGCCCTCCTGCCCAGTGTCCGCCAGTGCTGTGTTCCCCGTGCGTCCCCCACCGCGGCTGCGCCTGCCCACCTTCCTCGCTGCACTCATGGCCCCGCTGCTCCCGACAGGAGGTGGGCGCTGCGTGTCAAGAGCAGTCGAGCCCCCAGTGGGAGCTCAGTGGGCCTGTTGACTGACCGACCTGTGGCGTCCCGAAACGTTAGCAGCAAGGTCCCGAGAGGTGAACGAGCAGCGCTCCTGCCACCTCCCCGCCCCCCCAGCAGGCCCAAGGGCTGCAGGTCCGGTGGTCCCGTTACGAGGAACGAGGACCAAGGTGCACAGCCCTGCCATGGTCCCCTCTTGTCACGTAGGAGGGACGGGCAGCGTGTGACGGCAGGCTAGGTGAGCGGGACGGAGAGGAGGCTCTGGGGGAGCCTAGGCTGGGGTGGGGACGACTTACACGTGGTGACAGACACCGCCCTCCCAGACTGGAAAGGACTTGGTCTCCGAGAACAGCCGCGTGCAGGGGTGGGGCTCCCTGGTACAGGCTGCAGTGCAGAGGGGCCGCGGTCAGGAGGCCTCTGCCTGGGAGAGACTAGCAGCCTGCCTGGCCTAGGGTCTGTCTCTGGGGGAGCCTAGGCTGGGGTGGGGACGACTTACACGTGGTGACAGACACCGCCCTCCCAGACTGGAAAGGACTTGGTCTCCGAGAACAGCCGCGTGCAGGGGTGGGGCTCCCTGGTACAGGCTGCAGTGCAGAGGGGCCACGGTCAGGAGGCCTCTGCCTGGGAGAGACTAGCAGCCTGCCTGGCCTAGGGTCTGTGCCGCCGGCTTCTCCCAAGGCCACAGTGGCCTCAGGATGGTGCCAGGTGGGAGCCCCTCCTCAGGGCGGGGGCACTGACCCTGCGGGACTCACACCTAAGGCCACGCCTCGCCGCACTGTGGCTCCAGCTCTTGACTGTCCGGACCCTGCCCCTGGCAGCAGCATGGCAGTGGCTCCGGGCCGCCGCTGCGGCCTTGCCTACCAGCCTCCCTGCCTGTGCCCGTGGGAGGCCCAAGCTCCTGCCCCGGGCCCACACAGATCCGAGGCCCCGTGGTCCCGGGGCAGAGTGCAGGCATCCCGAGGCCAGGCTGGCGACGGAGCCAGCCCTGACTTACCGAGCTCACAGCGTCTGCCCTTGAACCCCGGCCCGCAGTCACAGCGGTGGGCCGCAGCGCCTGGCACACAGGTGCCGCCGTTCTGACAGGGGTTTTCTGAGCAGTTCCCAGGGGCACCTGGAAACGGAGGCCACGAGTCAGCCACAGCCCGGGGGCCTGCTGGCTGCGGCTCACTGCAGGCTCTGTGTGCCCCACCCTGTGGCTATGAACGCGGCGTGGCTGTGCGCTGTGGGCGGGGAGGGCTCCGTGACCAGCCTGGCCCTCCTGTGGGCACGGCTACACTTCCAGTGCTGGGAGAGCGAGGGTGGGGCGCTGCTCGTGTGCGGGCTGGGCCTCTATGCTTCAAGGGGAGGGTGGGCCGAGGGAGGCTGCGGCCTTGGGTGCAGAGAGCAGCCCCCGCCTGTGGGCCACACCCCTTCCCTGCCTTTGTGCTGACTTTGCCCTGACATGGGAGCCCCTTCAGTGACGTGAGTCCCTGTCACCTGTCCTCAGGGCAGGGCTTCTCCCGAGTTTCCAGCCCCTGACGCATGTACAGAACTGCTGCGAGGGGTCAGGGCGGCTGAGCCGCGTCAGCACTATCCCAGCCTAGCCCATGTGCACCGAGCCGCAGTCAGCGCGGAATCTGCCGTGCTCTTAGAGCGTGGCATGCGCTGTGTTTGGGCCAGGTCTGCCCTGTTGTGGTCCCAGCCCCCGAGTAGCTGCTGCTGTGCGTGGCCGAGGCACTGAGCTGGGACCTGGGCCTGGGCCTCTGTGTGGCCCGAGCCTGCCAGGCAGCAGTGTTGCACACGCCGCCAGGCCCGGTTTTCAGCGTTGGCATTATGTCTATTGTAGCTTTCAGAGACATTGAACAGCACGAGGAAGAACTACCCAGCCCACCGCATCCCACCCTGAAGAAGGCAAGGCCAGCAGGTGGTATAGTGGTTAAGGCGCTGGACTCCTATATGGCTGACGGTGGTTCAAGTCCCAGACTTGGAGGCTTGAAACTCATGTCAGGTCCATGTGCATGCCCAAAATCCCGAGAGGGGAATGGAGAAGGGTTTGTGGCGTGGCCATCCCCCAAGGAGGTAATTTCTCGCTCTCTCACTCTCTGGCGAGTGCATGCACCCTATGACAAAAATCTCTCTCTCAAAAAAAAAAAAAGAAAGAAAGAAAGAAAGAAAAAAAGAACTATAATTTTGTTAATTAAATGCTCTACATTCACATTGCTTCAAAATATTAAAGGGAAACAGGTTTTCCTTTCTTCTTCTTTTTAATAACAAAATGAATATTAACCTTTTAAAACAGTTTATTTATTAACAAATGTATTTTTAGTTATACAAAAAAAAATCTATTTCCTTTTTTATTTTTTTATTTTATTTTTTACATTTTTTAAAATACATTCAATCACATTATTTAGCTTACAAGATGATCATTTCAATATGTGAACATTTCACATATTGACATGATCACCAGTCCAGTTGATCAAAATATAACAATACTACCTCCCTGTCTCAACAATGCTGTCTCCATATCCCTCCTCCAAATGTTTTTCCCCAGGCCAGCAATCCCATTCCTTGGCATCTACCCGAAGGTTTTCATTTCTTCTATCTTATCCTCCTTCAGTCCAGGTCCTTTCCTTCCTGAAGACAGCATATTTGTAGATTCTTATATGATACAGAATATGTGTACCCCAATAAAAGTAAATATGACAGAAGTCTTAACTCCCACATTGTAACATGAAAGGCAACATTCTAATCACAAAGTCTCTACCTTGCTTTTTTGTTTCTTAACAAAATGTCCTGGAACTTTGTCCACACAGGCACACAGAGTGCTTCCTCATTCCTTTTTCTAGCTGCATAGCAGTGTGTTGTTTGGATGTGCCATGGTTATTTACCTAAGTCTTCCTTGATAGACAAATGGATTGGTTTCTAATTATTCAGCTTCACCAGCAAAGCTGCCATGGATCATTGTGCATTGTGTCATTGCAAGTCTGTTGGTAGTGCAAGTTTCTAGGGGATGAATTACTGGGTCAGAGGGCACGTGGACTTGTCATTTTAACTCTTGCCCAGTTGCTGATCTGCATTGCCACTGGTGACTCATGAGAGTCTCAGCTTCTATCAGAGACTGTCACTTACCTTTCTATTTTTTCCCACTTTGAATATTTGATATTTGAATATCCATTTATATGCTAAAGAGACAGAATTTAAGAAAGAAATGTTCTTAAAAAGAAAGAAACAGGGACCAACAGTTAGTGTAATGGCTATGTCGCTGGACTCCCATGTAGTTGACCGCGGTTCGAGTCCTGGACCCGGTGGCTTAAACTGATGCCGGGCGTGTGTGCGTGCGTGCCCAAGATCCCAAGAGGAGAATGGAGGAGAAGGGATTGCGGTGTGGCTATCCCCCCTGGGGATTTCTCTCTTTCTGGCTTTCTATCTCTCTGCCTGTCTGGAGAGCACACACGCCCTATAGCAAAAACCTCTCCAAAAAAAAAAAAAAAAAAGGAAAGAAACACAAGTGGCACCTTCCTGTTGCCCATTTGCCATCTCTAGTGATCATTACTACATCAGCATCTTGCCCAAGTCAGCACACCTCTTCCTACTTGGAGAGGATCCTCCAGGGACCAAGGTCTCTATTTCCTGGTCATTTGTGATACCACCGTGTTTTTGTATTTCTCGGGTAGGTTTATCCTGTCATTCCTTTGTGCATCCCATCCTGTAGGTACAGGTTGTGTGATCTACCCCTCAGCGCCCCCACGTGATTCTGCAGCACCCGAGGCTGCCCTCTGAGCACCAAGCCTGGGCTCCCAGAGTTTATTTACAAGTGATGA